TAAAACTCGCGGGAAAAAAGTATGCATAGAAGTCTATGGTGTAAATAGTAGTAGTAGTGGTTTGGGTAGCACTGATCAAAAAATTAATTTTTCATACGAATAATTTTTTAATGGAATTATTTCAGATCACAAAATTAATTTTTCAAGAGAAATCTTGAGCTATAGATTATGTTAAAAGGCACCAATTATCAGCGAAAGACAATGGCAAGTCGATTTTACTACCAAAAAAAATTCATGGATTAAATTTTATAGACGAATATATATTAATAATTCTCAACCACATCCGATATTAGTACAAATTGTAAACATTATTATCGCAAATTAATTTTATAATTTAATAATTAAAAAGAATTTATTAAACTTTGTCTTATTTTAAGTTGTCATGTTTTAATTTACTTGGATATTAAAACAATAAATTTTTTAAAATGTAAAAGAAAATGATATAGAGTATCGAGATGTTTTATGAAAACGGAAGAAATGAATTGAGAAGTTTTCTAAATATTAAAATTATTTATAATTTTAATTTACTCAAGAAATTTTTTATCTGAAAATAATTTATAACGTAAAAAATTAATTTATTAGGTTATAAATAATAAAAGTTAATAAGATTATAGAAAATAATTCTTCCAAACATTCACGAGACATTGTTCTCACACACGTTTAGGTCGGCAGGAAAATCAAATGGTTTTTCAATTCTACTCCGGTGGTTGGTACAGTTCGCCAAAACTGTTAAATTTCCCCCCCACACACTACCAGGAATTATAAAGGTCAGGCATGCATGGTTAATCCTCAAAGGATTAACTTAACGAGTATGGGCTCCTTTAGGCAAGAACATCTTAACGGGTTTTACTGTGCTATTATAAAATGGCTAAAAAGACACATGACCACTTTTAGGTCTTCATCCTGTCAACCATTAATTAAAAATTAAAATTTAATAGTATTAATGCCCCTTTATACGCAAGCTACAGTGCCAAATTTTGTTTCTTAAACTTTACCCATTCTGAGATATTGTTTAATAACTCGGAACAGAAAATAAAGAAATTAAACGAATTAGATGCCAACACACACGCGCGCGCGAATTTTTCCGCTTTACTGACTTTTTTGAGGGGTTCGGGAGGTCTCCAAACGTGTAGATTTAAAATAAAAAACTTGGAGGGTCAAATTTGACACGATTTCAATACTTTTCCGTTTTATATACATAACAAGTTGGTAAGTAAAAAGGAGTCGGAGTCGGCGGATTTTTTGACCACTCCGACTCCGACTCCGACTCCACAGCCTTGGAAAAAACATATAACATCTGTCTTCTCTCAAATGCATTAAAGACGATTCCACCTGCATCGATTGAATCGGAAAGGGCATTCTCAGTAGTAGAGCTTTTCCTTACTAAAATAAGAACTAGACTGAATAACCATTTTTGTATTTTAATTAAAATTTTATTATAAAAATTTACAATAATATTTTGTATTATGTTTTATTTAAATAACGAAAATTACTTTTTACGAGGGTAGTCCCAGAAGTACCCGACCTAACAAAGAAGGCACAAAAAATTTGGTAAAATATATTTTTATTTTTCAACATAGTCTCCTTTTAGCTCGATACACTTTTTCTAGCAATGTACAATAGCATCGATCCCCTGTTTATAGTTAGAACTGTCGAGCTTCTCAAAATAACCATCAACTGCAGACTCCACCTCTTCATTGTTGGCAAATCTTTTATCATCAAGCCATTTTTTTAAGTTTGGAAAGAGAAAATAATCCAAGGGGGTTAAATATGGAGAATAGGGTGCGTGAGGAAGCAATTTGAACTTTAACTCATTGATTTTGGCCATCGCAATAACGGATGTCTGAACTGGTGCGTTGTCTTGATGAACAACACTTTCTTTTTTGCGAAATGTGGCCGTTTTTTTTATCTAATCACTCAAGCGCTGCAATAAGTTCGCATAATACTTGCCGTTGATTGTTTTTCCTGGGCGCATCCCAAAAAACTGACGCCATGACCTTGCCAGCAAATGGAACTGTTTTCGTCTTCTTTGGAGCTGATTCTCCCCTTTCAGTTCATTGTTTCGACTGTTCTTTTGTCTCAGGTGTGAAGTGATGGACCCATGTTTCATCCGTGGTTATGAATCGACGCAAAAACTCGGCTTTGTTGCTGCGAAACATTGCCAAAGACTCGATTGAAACATCCTCATGACGCTGTTTTTGTCCCATTGTGAGCAAAAGTGGCACCCATCTTGCGCACAGCTTTTTCATGTCCAAATTTTCAGTTAAAATGCGATGTACAGCACTTTTTGAAATGCCTACCATGTCTGCTACCTCTCACACTTTGAGTCGACTGTCATCCAATACCATTTTGTGGATTTTTTCCACTATTTCTGGCATGGTTTCCTCACTTGGTCGACCACTACGATGTTCGTCTTGGCAGCTCGTACAGCCTCGTTTAAACTCTGTCACCCAATGTTTTATTGTTGTAAACTAGAGAGCAGACTCCCCCAGAGTAGAATCTAGCTCAGCTTTAATATTGGTTGGACTGAAACCTTTCAAATGAAAGTATTGTATCACATAACGATGACAAATTTTTTCCATGTTTACAAGTTCACTGAGATTGTCCATTATTTATGGCTGCCAAAAAAATACTATACAACGTAACATCTTCAAACTTCAAATTTAAGCTTTATAATGTTGATACTTTTGAACACAGTCGTTTTTTTCAAACAAGTACCGCCATCTATGTCAGGTCGGGTACTTCTGGGACGACCCTCGTAACTTAGAACTTTGATCTAAGTTCATTTTTTTTTCTTCAAATTTTCAACTCAATTTAAAGGCATTTTTGTTGTAAGCAGTTTCCAACAAACTTTAATAAACTTTTTCTATTTGTAAATATTTACGTAATTCAAAAGTAATTTTTATAAATATTTTACACATTATTAATATTTTTATTTTGGAGGTTGCAGGACATATTAAGTTACTTAAACATGAAGAATAATTATATCATTCAATTTTAAGATTTACAGTGGAACCCCGGTTAACGAACGTCCTGGTTAACGACCAAATCGGTTAACGAACTTTTATTTTACAAAAATTTTGTCTCGGATAACGAACGTAACGGTATTTTGTGTCAAATTTTAGTTGGTGTTAGGCATGCGTGAGTTAAGCATTCCTTTTCTGAGTGTTTGTGCTATACTTCTTTTTTCAGTTTTGTGATTTATATATTTAATCAATATGGCATCCAAGAAAGAAAAAAGTCATAGTGGCAATAGAAAACGACAACGCAATATAAACGGCAATGCGCTATCGCATTTGAGAAAAAGTTTGATTAAAAGAGTAAGACAATCAACTTTAGATCAATTTTTTGTTTCTTACGAAAAGAGTTTGTTTGTTTGTTAAGTTATGGCAACGCAACACTTGGGCGATCTGCCTAGGGGCCTTCTAAGAGGTGTTTTTAAGGGAAACTGGCCCCTATTTAGGCGTTACAGACTGGAGAAAACCCGGAAAATTCCACGTGGCCAGCCGTCTGAGCGAAGTGCGAATTCACGAACGAACTCCCCGAGTTTCGGGTACGAAACACGGGGACCGCTTAGCCACTGGTAGGCTTTCTTACCGAAAGACAATTCGACTCGAAGAATCTTCTGATTTATTTTTTGGAGGGGATTCCCCTTCTAAGCATTAAGGTTCGTATATCTCCACTTTTCTGCCACCAACTACAACAAACGAATGTATGTACAGTGCTATTTTATTAAACAAAGTTTACATATATGTTGCTGTAATGATAGATACTACGTTTTCCTAGATTTTCATCATAGAAAATCTACTGTATATTACAAATAAAATCACAAAAATTTCGGAGACTAGAACGGATTAATTGCATTTGCATTAATTTCTATGGAAAAAATTGCTTCAGTTAACAAACAATTCAATTAACGAACGAAGTCGCGGAACGGATTAAGTTCGTTAACCGGGGTTTCACTGTATTTTATATCTTAAAAATAATTAATTATATCTCGGGATTTCCCGGAACACCAGGAAACAGTGCACTTTTGTCCCGGAATCCCGGGACAAGCAAAAGACCAGGAAATGAGAAACTTTACCTACAATGCATTTTCATTTAAAAGTTTGTCGCAATCCAAACGTGTTGTGATAGTAGTTATATATTTATTAAATATTCCTAAATAATTTTTTGTTTATATTGTGTTAATTTTATTGATCATTTTGTGTTTATATTAATTAATTAAACAAATACAGCGCAGTGTCTTCTATACTGACTGCCTGTGCTATTCGCACAGGCAGTCAGTATAGAACTGGCAACAGTCACAATACAGATTGTAGGTAAATCGAGATCGAAGTGAGTCGTGGATTGGGTGCGAACGTAGTATAAGATGGCTTTCGGGCGTTGTCACAGTTGCTTCCGATGAAAAGGATTTGCATTCCGGATGATAATAATGGCCGCACATCCGATTTTAGTGCGGTTCTATTGTATTGTATTGTACCTTTTTGAAACTTACGTTCATAAATTTTTATAGTAACTTTTTAAAATCTTCACATTATATAACTTCTTTTTTAAATATCCATATCGCAAATAATCGATTAGTGAGACTAATTTAAAATAATTTTTAAAATTAATATTTCTCTGTTCTCTACATTTCTAACCTTTTTGATTTCACCAAAAATTTTATGTTTATTCTTCAAGATATTGCGAAAAGTATAGGCTTCCTCAAAACCTTCACATTTCACTCTTACCCTTCATAAATATAACAATATTAGGTTAAAATAGCCAAATTTTTATTATGATTTAAAATTTAATGTTTGTTCTGCTTGCTTTTTGCCTTGGCATATATGCTGAAATTAAATGAAATTACTAGTTCGGCTGAAATATGCATGACTAAAAATTAAATTAGGTTTTAAATTTAAAACGATATAAGTATAATTATTTTTATTTAGTCAATTTTTAAATTTTATTAAATCGAGAATTTTGCCTTTAATTTTTCGTTCTTCATTTTAATATAGTTGGGAAAAATTCAGCAGAATATCGGATATAAAAATGGTTCTCTAAATGTGGAATTCTTAAATAAGATGTTTGAAAATGTAAGTGAAAAACTACTGTTTAAATAATATATTTTAATTATTCTGTATTGTTTTTCAAAAATTTTATATTTATTTACTTAATTAACTAATTGATTTAATAGTTCAAGGTAATACATACACGATTGGACGGGCAAATGATTACAATATAAATAAGTAAATTCTATCTACCGGTAACAATGTAAAACATACTATAAAGCAAATATAACAAATATCATTAACAACTTTGAAACCTTGAGCAAAAATATTGATAATAAATATAAATAGAAACGGAATAAACATATTACCTGAAAATTATCTGAAATATTTAAAAATACACAAAAATTATCTGAAATAAAAATAAAAAAATACTTGAAAACTGTTGCCAAGGGATCAGCATAGGAAAGGCAACAAATTTCGGCACGGAGGTACTAAACATACCAAATATAGGCCAATATATGTAAGGTTAAACCGAAATTACCATCGAGAAAACGGCCTACCGGGAAATTTCCAATTTCTCAGTGGTCCAGTCCACTACTATTGCAAGTGATTCACTGCCTATACACAGGCAAACAATAACTTATTTATATATTTTTTGATACGTTCTATTTTCCTTAATTATACTATGCTTTTGTCCACTTTGGGGGTTATTGTGAATTGTTGTAAATGTTAAAAGAAATATATGTACGTATGTTAAAATATAAAGTTGTAAATGTAAAAATTTTTAAAAATACTTTTAAAAACTTTTGTATAAATTAATGTGTAACTCTTTAAAATTATAATTAGAAAATATAACGACTTGACTTGAAAGTAAAGTTGAGATAGCTGTCCTAGTTGGACTTAGCCATGTGTAAAGGGGAGGTTATAGAGGGATGAGTGAGGGGTAGATTGGGGAATGGAAGGTAATGGGATAGAAGAGGGGAAAAAGAGGTAGAAAGTGGAGGTAGAGTTTGGGATCACAATCCTGATTAGCATCGCACTTACAAAAGAAAACAGTAGTTGATGCAAACAACTTACAGATTGCCTGTCCGGCTAGACGGTTACAATAGTAAATACAGAACAAAGCGTACATGTAATCCACTGGTAATCCCGACCGAAAAGTACTACAGTACACTAAAACACAGGTATTACACTGATAGAATGTTACATAAAGGACAATGTTGTGATAACAGAAGACCAAGGTGACGAGACTGCTGATCGGAGCGAAGCACAGAGGATCACAGATGCAATCTATGTCCAGTACAAGAGACGCTACACGTGACACCATGACTCATGTAGGTGTTTCACCTACAGAGTGCAAGACCGTTGTTGCACAGAAGCAGGCAACGAAGACCAGTGGGCAATTTCACCAGTGAACCAACCAAAAATGCTGGTGACGAGAGTGGCGATCCCACCGGCTGTCAGTACAGAGTGAGATAGCAGAGGGATCATCGCATGTTGCTTCAGATGGAGTCCGAAGAACCGGTTAGGTTTGACGTAGGCCGGAATTATACTCGAAGCGACTACAAGAGTTTACGAATTTGGCAAACAGCTCAAAGATCTCCTGATCCTCGCAGAGAATGTTGGGTTCAGGAGGCCAACCTGAATCCCTTCCATAGACAGTGGTAGGTGAGTTCTTCTCGTTGTCTTTCGTACAGCGTACAGTGAAAGATGTAATGGAGGGCGTCTCCTTCAGAGACGCCATCACAACCGCACCTATCATTATTGATCCTTTTGAATCTTGTTAGGTAAGAGGGGAAGTTACCATGACCTGTCAAGCATTGCGTGATGGCATGAGAAATGGTGAAGTAGCTGAGAGCCTGTCTTTTATTAATCGACGGAAGAAACTTGTGGGTGGTTCTGCCAGTGGTTGAGGTAGCCCAATCCTTTTGCCACTCCTCCATTATACAGTCCCTGATGTTGTTCTTGATATGGACGATGGGAATATTAGAAAAAATGGTGGTGATGTACATTGTGGTGGCCTTTTTAGCAAGGGCATCAGCGTGTTCATTGCCTTTATTACCCGTGTGCTCAGGCACTCAGGTAAAACTGAGTTGAGCAAATTTGCTGAGGTTTCTGGCAAGATGTCTGACCTCCATGCCAGTTCTTGTGCACTTATTATTGTTCGAAAGAACATTAATCACATACATACTGTCTGTGTTGATACAGATGCTACCATCGTAGATCCTCCTATTTTTAGTGATGGTGCTTAGAGCTTTATAAACCGCTAGCAGTTCTGCCTGGTTGTTAGTACAATGCATGTGCAGCCGGTAATATTGCTGATGCTGAATCTCATTCTCACTATCATAGATGACGAAGGCTGCACCGGTACCCTTATCATTGCGTGAGCCATCTGTGTAGATGTTCCAGTGGGCTCTGCTGTTGCTATAATGATTGTTCCTGACATTAATGGTATAGCTACTCGTCTCTCCTGGGTGTCTTCCGAGAGTACTTCCAGTAAGATAATTGTCTAACTTGTAATTAATAATGGAGTCAATCAAGTTCGCACTATTAGGAGGAATCAAATCCTTGCTACAGAGATTCCGTATCTCCTCGGTGGTAATATTCTGATGGTTAATGGTCATCATGTTCCACTGCCAGAAGATCTCTTTAATGCGTAGGTGAATGGGGATAATGTTAGCTATAACCAGCAGCGCATC